ATGATACAAGATCCACTGCTTCTTGAAATATTCAGGTGTCAAATAAGACTTTAGTCTTGGAAGGCTTCTTGGAAAATGAGCAGCATTTTCCCAGCTCCTGGAGGGGTACAAGCCTCAAACCCCAAGTCTGGGTAAAGCCAGCTRGAAGAATCCCAACTGATCATAGGGAATGTAGCCTTAGAACTTGGTTTGAGACCTCTCCTGCCTGAGCTGGGTGACTTGAAAACCAGTTAGTCTGGTRAGTGTGGCAGCAGAGCAACAAGCGAGGGAAACGGCTTCTCATTGATTGACAGAACAAACAGGTGAAGAAAAGGTATCAGTCAGATGCCATCTTCAGGGGTTTTAGTTTGTCTTAGGTAAATCACTCCCTTTCTACCTCTCCAGAGCTGTTTGTGTAGAAGCAGCTAAGAGTGATTGATGAGCAGGCATATAAACAGAGAAATCCTGATTGCAGGCAGGCAAGAGGAGGGCAAAATGATGCTTCATAGATACATATGCTTCCTCCACTCACTGAAGAATACTACTCAGTGATGAGCTTTTGTCCATTTTACAGGAAAACCTTTCACGTGTTTGGGGCAGCACAGACGTGGCTTAGGTGCTGTAGTTGTGGGCAAGGCATGAGCTAAGGGAGAAATGTGAAGATGTGGTTCAGTAAGTACTTGGGACAAGAGAATTCCTATGACTAGATGAGATGACTGAGGTGCTTCTTGCAGAAGCTTCTTGCAAGGTCTTGTCTAAAATCTTGACTTTTGTGTGTCAATTATTGGTGTGATTGTACCAGCTGCCTTGGTATGAAAAAATGTTTGATTCAGATCTCTTCAGCTGTAGAAAAGCTTAAGAAAGTAGATTTAAACATCGAGTTTTGAATTTAGATTTCCATTTTCTATTCTCCACGTCTGCCTTAGGTTTAAGAGCAATCAGGTTTATAGGCAGTTTCCTCAAGAATTGTTTGACCATGTGATCCTGGCTGTTCTTTTAGAGGATTTGAGGGCCTGCTGGAGCCCTCAGAAATAGACCTCTCAGAGGTATAAAATTTCTGTGGGTTTATGAAACCCTGTAGCTGACTAAAGGACCCACTTGGTGCCCAACCCTGTAAGAGTGGAGTAGCTCATCACTGAGAGGAGAAGCTGGATGATGTTAGCATGTGCCAGCATTTGCTACCAAAAAGAGGGTGAAAGTGGTGGGGAGCTGGTGTTTATGGGTGCAAGAGGGAAGATTAGGAGATAAGGCACCCGTATCCCCTTCAGCTTTCTGATTTCCCCTGCCCAGGGTRTATCTTTCTTTTTCATTCTCCTTCCTTTGCTCCCTTTTTCATGTGTTTGTTTATGTCACCTATCAAGTTTATCATTATGTGCTCATGCACATAAAATCTTTATTAGCCGTGTGTATTCTCTATTCTCTGTTTTAATTTTCCTTCCTTCTTYCTTTGTTAACAAACTCTGCTGATTGCAGATGTTTCCCATTTGACAGCGCCTGAGACTCAGGTTTTYCAGTCACGCAACAGAATGACTGCTGGCTCCTTCCTCCATGTGTGTGATGGAGCCATCCCACGCAGAAGCAGGGGCTGAACCTGCCCTCCCAGCCAAACCTGAGCTCACAGTCCTCCTCAAGATGAGTAAAACAGAAGAGAAGATGAGCTGTGATCTTAGGGGTGTTCATAAATGGGTTGTGCTACTCTGGTCTTTCTGAAGCAGCTGGCTGAAGGAGAGGGGAGTCAGGGTCAGTGCTGAGACTGARAAGGTCCTTTGTGCTCTGTGTGCCATTTCATCTGCTGTTAAAAGCCCTTGAATGGTGGATAGATGTTGGCCACATCTGCTTCCCACCAGTTCAGCCAGACTTGGGCCCTGCACTGACAGAAACATCCAAGAACGTATCACCCCACTGGCTCTGAGGGTCAGTGCTCTCACCTTTGTTAGAAGTGGAGATGGGGTAAAAAGAATTTCAGTGCTTTGTGCTGGTTTGACCAAGTCAAACTTCTCTACTGACTGATACCTTCTGCAGAAGGTAGTTTGCTCCTGGTAGAGCCATTTCTAAAATCAAACCTTGAGCAGTACCAGACCATGGAATGCCATGGATGTGTATACATGTTGTGGCTCGGCACCATGAGCACCCTTTCCTTTTGGGCAGTGGTTAGATGAAGGTTTCTTCACCGACATCTCTTGAAATTCCTCTCAATAAATCCTCTCCTAGAGAGTTTTCTGAGAGATTATTCTGCCTTGGACGGGTGGAGTGAATAAATTATCACCTTTTGTGATCTGTTAATCTTAACACAGTTTCCAGAATATCAGTTTAAGGGACACAGATAAAGCCATATGGGACAGTGTGCTCTTTCCGTTCTACTCCAGAGACCTCCTGTATTTTTTCTCAGTAGCCTTCTTCAGTAGGGATGAGAGTTTGTTTTCTGGAACTGTTGTTTGAACTTCCRTGGCTACAAGAGTGTAAACCACCCCTCCTTCATGGGGGATAAATCTTTTAAGTCAGGAAAYGGGAAAGAAAACTTTGAGACATCTTTTACTGGTTCCCTGTTCTTCRTTGGTTCCTAGTTTGCCATTCTGCTGCTTGGTTTTCCTGCTGCCTATACCAATAGATAGAGGAGGTTTTTGGCCCATGGCCCATAATTATTTCACAAGAAAGGTGGCTCCAGGGAAAGTAATAGGTCGGGTGCAGAGCCTGCAGACAACAGTTTCAAGATGCTCAATCGGTGTGCTTGGGGAAAAGTCCTTTCTGAAAGGGCAGAAATTTGCAGATTGGACTTCAAAGAACATCCARTGGAAGAAAGTGCCAAGACATTCATAAACCAAGTGGCCAAGAGGGCTGGAGTCCCACGTGGTAAGTGGCACTGGCAAGTGAGCAGAGTGGTCAGAGAGAGGAAGATCCTGGTGGCAAGACCAAGTGGCTTAACCTTGATACAGCAGGGAAGAGGAGGTTCCAGAGAAAGGACTGGCTMCTGCCAAAGCAGCCTTTTCAATTGCTGGCTGCTCATTCCATGTTCCACCAGGGTGTGCTTTCCTTCTCTAATTGTGTGCAGCTCTTCCCGCTTGGAAAGCTGCTCCCAGCATCAGGCAGCATCCTGGTTTATTACAGTGTCATTTTCAGGTTACACCACCAACGCTGAGGCAGAAGATGTGTGTGTCATGTCTCATTTGCTCAGTCRCAGAGTCGTTCAGGGGCAGCTTCTGCTTGTGCTGATCGTCTTTGAGCYGTGCATTGGGCTGCAGCCCTGGAAAAGCATCACATGTTTCTCAGCATTGCAGCCTCTGGAGTAGTGAGGATGGGTACAAGCCCTGGAGGAGACGTCACTGAAAGCCTCCACAAATCACAAGATCTAGTTCTACTGCTCCATATAATTAGTGATTAAAATGAGTAAAAACAAAGCAGCAATTTTCTTATTGATCCCTCAGCAAATAGCTCTGTCTATTTTCTTCTGTATTGTTGCTTCTTATTAAATAGCCTTGAATAAGAAATGTCAGTCAAATGAATTTAGATTCCTGGTGCTTCAGACAGAAATCAAAGCGGGATTGAAAGAGGAACGATAATTAGAGAGAGGAATTCCACCTCCACACACTTCTTCCCTCGCTCAAGGAGTGCTGATTTTATCTAAATTGCCAAAGCCGTGAGCAAATGAGAGGTGATGGGAATTATAGACTGCAGATGCTGAGACAAAGCAAGGGAAGCTTTAATTAGTGCATTTTAAGGTAGAAATGAATTTCCTGGGAATAAATTATTAGACTCAAGACATATGGAGCTTCTTAGAGTGAACTGAAAAGCTTTTTACATGCTAGAACCAGGGCTAACTAGTTGTATCTGTCTTGTAGAAACAAGTGACACATCACTGGGGTCTGAAACCCATCAGGATGAATCCTTCTTTCTTTGCATCTCACTTTATTTTTTAATATCGAGGAGTTCCCACAGCTGCAGATTCCCATAAAGCAGAACTTTTCCCCAATATCCACATTTACTCATTCAAATGTCAGTGATGGATGCTGAGAAATTGGGAGTTACATATCAAACCTACTGGTACTGAAAGGAAGTTATTTTCCTTTCAGTTCTCCTCTTACCTTTCTTGACTCTGTTGCAATGCTTTCATGACACTGGCACACACATTAGTCACTAGGAACCTTAAAACACTGACCTTTCTATTTTTTCAACAGATTTTCACAGCTTTTTAAAGGTTGAGACAGTACAACTCTGTGCAATTTGGAGGTGGATAGATTCCTGGCTGAATTGATAGTGCTGAAACAAAACCATTTAGCTGGGTGCTTTAATCCAGAACTCCATGAATCAGCAGAATTACTCTGTCTTTTAATTATTTACATATTTTATGTGGGCCTGTKGCTTACAAACCTTGTTGAAGTAAGCAGGAGAGAGGCCAGGTTGAGATTTCATGGTTGTGTTATGGGAGTGATCACAGACCCCTGATGCAGGTGCTGCACGAACAGAATAAAGTGGGTTTGGCCTTCCAAGAGCAGCACAATTTTCCTCTGCCCTGAAAAGTGGGAATGAAAACACCTYGAAAGGCAGGGGGATGGACAGGCCTCCCCAGCAGCACCTTCCCAGTGTTTCGGGGGTGGCTGGCAGTGGTGATCCACATGGGCATGGCCTGGAAAATCAGCCTGTCCTCCCTTCCTGGGATGAACCACCACTCGTGACCTTCCACAAATCCTGCTCTTCTTCTGACCAGATGTGATAAAACAGATGGGTAGAGCAAGGGACAACCTAGTGGCTTCAGCTCCATTTTTTTTTTTGGCAAAGAGACCTAAGGTCATAAAACACCCCACACTCTGTGTGGGAAAACAAGGCTGACACTCGCTGGTTTTTCTGGTGTTGTGGTTGCCTGTTTCAGCTGTTGCTCYTTTGTGCCAGAGGTTAACTTGTCTCACCCATGATGAATGATTCAGTCAGGGGGTATTGAACGCTGATGTTTATCTGGTGGCAGGATGGGAATGTTGCAAACATGTGAGCTGCGGGAGGAAATGGGCTAATTTGAGATTTGTTCCTAGCCCTCGCCATGCGAATGGTGTCGCTGCGAGCCCAGCAATGAAGTTCACTGTGTTGTAGCAGACTGCGCAGTCCCCGAGTGTGTCAACCCAGTCTATGAACCAGAGCAGTGTTGTCCTGTCTGCAAAAATGGTAAGAAAGAACCGTGTTGGCTTTAACAGAGATATAAAGGAAACATTTTATTGAAATGCTGTTACTGAGGTTTGCTTCCATCAGCATGGGCTGGCATTGGGGCTGGTCCTTCTCCTGGTGCTTCAGTTGTGGGCTGAAAATTAAAGCTGCCTTTCCTGGCCTGTGTCTTCTTCTTGAAGCAGATGGAATGGCCAGCTGGACAAAGGTTTTATAGGATTGAGTCCTGATATCAGTGATTGTTGTTTCATGTCTTTGCTCTTTTCTCAAAATTAGTCTAACAGAGAACCAAATGTATGAGAAAAGAGAGAGTCTTTGTCCTTAAATTAAAAADCAAATTGTTGTTATCCGAGGCCACGGGAAAACTCACCAAAACCAATGGCAAGACTTTTCCTGTGGCCAGTAAGAACCCACCAAGCCCAGAACATCATTAGTTGTGTGCTGGAGTCTGTGTGTAGAGCTGGCCCTCATTGTCATGCTAAGGTGATTTTGTGAATTGGAGCCTGATTCATCAATACTTTCAAGAAATGTTTTGGAATGACTGAAAGTACCTCTTTGGAAAATGAATCTGTTTCCAAAAAGGTCTCCCCGGTCTTGTACCACAGCCTGTACTCACATACGTCTCTGAAAAAGCGCTTTTCTCCTAATGTAGATGTGAAGACAGATTAAAAGGTAAGGTAGCTTCACATAAACCTTTTCACAGCTTTCTAAACATGTAAGAAATGGTTACTTGGATTCATCCCCTCGTGTTTGGAATTCACTCTCCATATGTATTTGCTCTTACATACATCACTGCTGTTGGATAAGAGTAATGGTAGCTTTTTTTTTTTGTACCTAAATGAAAATGTTTGCAAAGAAATAACATTTTCAACACATTTTCTGCTCTTTAACACAGAGAAAAGGCAAAGAGTTGGAAATGAAAAACATTTTTACTGAAGGAAGTGGAAAAATTAAAAAAGGTCTGGAAAATTATGCCAAAAATACTGCTTGAAATCTCGAAGTTTGTAACTCTGTTTTTGTTCAAAATTTGTCAGATTTTCGCTGCGTTTCATGCTTCTGTTGGAAAGCAGAAAATGTCCATAGGAGATCTCATGGGTTTTTTATTGATCAAGTTCAGAAAAGAGGTTTGTAAGCCGGTTCTGTGCACCACCTTTATGCACAGTCCACTGTCCTTGGGTGTGAGGTTTCCCATCACACTCACCAAGATTCGTGCCCTGGGTTGGTGACTCAGGGCTGCCACTGGCTGCCACGGGGGCTGTCACTGAACTCACACTCATTCACACTGCAGCAAACACCCCTGGAGCGTGTTTGGCCTCTGTGTTCCCATCACGTGTAGGGCACTGTCGCAAATCCCCTCATTTACAGTGGCAGCACATCCCAGCTGGTTTTTGTCACATGAATCCAACCTGTGAGCATCCCTCAGGCTTCCCAGGAGTGCAGGCTCAGAGGGGCCTTCACACAGGTCCAGGAGCTGATGGATTTTCCTACCAACCCTTCCCCACCATGACCATTTTCCCCAGAAACCACACTACCTCTTTGGGGGTTGGTGGCTTTCTGAATGGGGATGCTGTGGGGTGGGAGCTGAACCCCTCCTGCTGTCCCAGCCTGGCTCTAGGGATGGAGGCCCCTCAGCTGGTAGGGCTTTCTGCTCCTCCTGCTGAAGCTGGGGCTGGCTGAATGATAGTTGGCCAAAGGCGGTAGTTTTGGCTGTATCCTTCACAAATGTAATGAGGTCATTCACACAGTGATAGAAACTAGTAGGCACCAAGGCAGTCTCCTGTGTGTGATGATCAGAGTTTGCTCTTGGAGATGGCTGAGTGTGGCACACACCCTTCGCCTTTCTCTTACAGTTTCGGAGATTCAGGTGGAAGTAGCAGCCATTCCTGTGTCTCTTCCCATCTGAATCCCTCTGACACATCCTAATGAATGAGGAGCACAGTGTTTTCAGCTGTTGTGTTCATCTTGAGACCAAAATTTTGTCTTTTAGCTCTCCRCTTCAGCCAGTCAATTAAAGTTCAGTTTCACAAAGGCATGAAGCTAACCCAAGCTGACAGACTCACTTAAATGACTGAAACCCCCCATTTTTAATTTATTTGGTTTTTTCCTTCCATTCAGTAGCTTTTGCTTTCTGCTGAAGTRGTAAAGACACAGTGCCATGTTTTGGTGTGATGAAAAGATTTTAGTCCCTGTGGTCATAATTTCAGACTGACAAACAGAAGAGCTCAAGGAATACAGTTGTTGGGGGTGGGGAAATAATCTCTATGGTGCAAATCCTCAATTCAAAAGCTACCCCTTAAAATTTTGATAAGGAAAATCTTCATTTTACGTTAAAACAGAGCCCTGCATCATTTGCTGCACTCTGCTAAGAAGCATGGYTTACCTGCTTGTTTTGCTGGTGCTGCTGTTAATGAGAGAATAATTTTCTTTTGCTATAGTCARGTAGATTTTCATAACTTTATTAATTACAATTTGCCAGGGGCAGAAGTGCTGTGATTCCGTGGGTGCTGGAGCAGGCTGCTCAGAGAAGCTGTGRCTGCCCCACCCCTGGAAGTGTCCAAGGCCAGGTTGGGTGGGCCTTGGAGCACCCTGGGACAGTGGAAGGCGTCCCTGCCCATTGGCAGGTGGTGGAATGGAATGTGCTTTAAGGTCCCTTCCAACCCAAACCAGTCTGGAATTCTGTGATTGTGTGATAATGCAAAAATCTGTTGTTTCTAACATTCCTGACCTGAAGATTCATAGAAAGCCAATACCAATTTCCSTCCTATCATTTAAGAGCAATCTGAACAAAAGGCTTTGGAGGTTTGTTCCTTATGGCCAAAGAAATGAAATTGTTATCTCATGCTTCACTAAACACCACAGATCAAGCAAGGCTGGCTGTTCCTGGCAAGGGATACCACATTACACACAGAGMATGCGGAGTTCACTGGGAGGCTGAAATTTGGGGCTGAGGGAAGGACAGAACGTTTTCTCCTTCGTGTCCTATCATCCAATTTGTCAGAGTGGATTTTAAGGGCAATGGCTCCAGGTGCTGCGCAGCATTTCTGTCACAGAGATGAAAGGTCACTGGCTTTCACGTTTCCTGGTAGTGACAGACCGCAGAATTATGGCCCCGAGTTGTTATTTCCAGTCACTGTGACTTCAGACAAAAGTGTGTCAGTGTTGTTAACTCTCTCCTCTGCAGGGTCTGGGAGCTGCTGTCACTGTTAGGGCCCAGCTCGTGGCTGCCACCAGTGCTGTCCGTCCTGCCCCAGGTTCTGTGCCAGAGCCTTTCCCAGAAAAACTCCCAGCGAGGTCTGCATGCTCCTATGGCCAGGGCTGCAGAGGTGCCTGTGTGATGTTATTGGGCCCTTCTCTCCTGACCCTGCACTCTYCATTCCCAAATCTCCACTTGTCCCTGCCCATCAACCCATCCACTGCTGCAGGGTGTGTAACTCCCTTTCTATGCRTCCCTTGGAGGTTGCTCTTCCCGTTTCCCTCGGTGCTTTGGATGTGGTCTGGGAATGGTGCAGGATGCTGGGATAGGGGCATCCCCAGTGTATCTTCCCTCCCATCACTTCATCTGCATTCCTTTGCTTTGCCAGCTCCAAGCAACTTTCACTCACTGCAGTGCACAAAGGGAGAAGTTCCCTGTGTTTCATTTTCTTGAGGGATGAACAAAACWAATACTATAAATTTTTGGTTTGGGGTTTGGTTTACCTTTAATTTAATTTTTGTTGTCACCAACCCTCCACAAAAGAATTTGTTACCCRGCGAGCCAGATAAAAGCTAACATGTCCATAGTGAAATATTTCCTGGCAAGTGTGCTTACTCAGCCTGGGCTTCTGGAGACATTCGTGATGGAATACTGGGCAGCAGGAAGACATTTCGTAGATAATCTGTCACTGAGTCTTTAATTAAAGTTTTAAATTATCACAGTTGATACAGATTTCCAAGTAAAGAGGCTGATCCTGCCATCCACACACAAGTAAAAGATCCCTTTGACCTTCAACAGATTTTACACTGGTAAAATAGCATGTCTTCAGGCAAAGCTCTTGTGGGTATTTATTATAATGTGCTATAAATATTAATAAATCTCTACAAATGTTTTCATATTTGAGGGCATGAGCACAAAAGTGAGTAAATACTAATTTATTCCCRTGCATATAAAACCACATTTTACCCCAGCTTCCCTCTTAATTTGCTGAAATATAAACTTGCTGCTCATTATTTCTCCGTTGGAGTTAATTTGAAATAAGCATTCTGCACCCCAGCCTGCTCCTGCTGTAACACAGTGTGTCTTGCTCAGGAAACCCCTAAGGATTTTCCCAGCCTGCTGAAGCCTTTCCTTTGGCAAACAAATCCATGTTACMCGTGTCCCTGAGTGAATTTTGCCTGTCTCTGTGTAGAATAACACCCGAGGGCAGACCTTTGAGGCTGCCTTTTCTTAGAAAGCTATGAAGAAATGCTTTTTTTTTCTAAACGGGAGATTTTTGGGCATCCCCAAGGGGTGTCCCTTTGGAAGAGCTGTGCTGGGGGCRGTGGGGCACATGGTGTGGGGACATGGGCCAGGCTTTTCCTGTCCTGCCCAGCCAGTTYAGAGCTGGTTCATGAACTTAATTTCCATTCCCAAGTTGAGCAGGGCAGGGACACCTCCCAGGAAAGTCTGGATTCCACAGAAAGAGGCACTGGGAATGCAGTCAGGGAGACAACTAAACCACTACCCAGGTATTGTCTTAGGAGGTGTTCATTTTGCAAAACCCTTTGGGATTGTGCAGGACAAAAAGCTCCATCTCAATGTAAATTCTTTTAGGTGAAGGTAATGAATTAACAGTGCATGTTGGTAATCAATACTGACAAAACCCCTTTCCCACGTGGTCTCTGTTCCAAATTATTGCRGTCTTGAAAAGTGCCAGGATTTTAATATGCAATAATCCAGTGCCTGTGCTTTATTGCATACATGTAGCTTGTTAYTTATCTGCAAGATGTGGATCGCTGAAGCTCCAGGTCATTGTTTTGGAAAGCTT